CATAACGCACGCATACAAACACACAGCATACGAACGCTTTGGAAAATACGAAACGGCAACACTTTCACACGAACACACACATTGACCGCACACAGCCCATAGAGAACAGTTGGACCAATTGGGCGCTGAGAACACTTGTGGTGGAGCCGCTGCATGCAACGGAGCCCAAGCAGCGCAGTTCAGATTGAGTTTCCGGCGGTGTTGGCCGACATGTCGGAACAAATTTCGTTGTAATTTTCACTGACAAAACTACGCGTCTCTTAACCGTGTCTTATTGTTTTGACATACGTGTTTCACTTTGTTATTTTCTGTGCGTTGTTATGTTTTTGTTGTAGTACGGACACGGACGAGTGCGCATGCGAGTAAAGTCAAATAAACAAATCGCAGGAGGCGAACACGGCAGGCAAAGTGCGCGTCCCTTACAAGCAGTCAACCTGCATACTTGACTGACAGTTAGACGGATGAGCAGCGCGTACGTTTGCAAATTTGTGTTTATTAAAGAAAAATTTTTATGACTTCTGCATTATTTGTGCGTGCTGGCGTTCGCTGAAACAAATTTTGAAATTTTGAATTTTTGAAATTTCAAAAATCCACTTTATCTATTTTTTGTTTTCGTGTGGGTGTGTGTGTATTTCTAAACGAAAAGCGAATGACCGCATACGCGCGCTGCGTGTGAACCCAAACAGTTGTGCCTTTTGTGCAGAAATTTAAATTTTTATGAGCGCAAATTGTCTGCAGAATAAACGAAATTGTTTGGGAACATAATAAAAGTGGAAAAAAACACAAAAAAAAAAAGTTATAAATAAATAAAAGCAGGTACATGCAGCTGTGTGAAAGCGCGAAAGTGGCGAACAATGCAACAATGCGCGGTGCTAAGCGGTTTTATGGGCGCTCAAATTTTCATTAGCGCTTGTGGGCATTAAATATAACAAAAACAACAGCAAAAATTACAAATATAATAAAATAAATCCACTGAAACTACGTTTTCTGAGCTAAGAACTGGTTGACTGATCGTGTGTTGATATTAAATTTAAGAATAAAAGCGAATGAAATAAAAACAACGTAAACAAAAGATTTAAGTTCGGCTGCCCTAATTCTATAATAACCTTCACAGTTAAATTTCTCGTAACGCATGTATTTATATGCATTTATTGCTGTAAACCTTAGGCAAGCTCGTCGCTTGAAATAGTCCAAATTCTCACATTCTTCTACGGCATAACTGAAAACTTAGATCACTGCGCAGCAGAGTCTACTCCTGATAGCTTTCTCTCTATTCGCATACCGACCAGGGATATGTGGTGGTGGGAAGTCGCCGAAAAAGAGGCTCAATGAATCCCTCAATCCCTCTATATATAAAATAAATATATTATATATATGTACATATGTCAATATTCAGCGTGACGAGCTGAGTCGATTTAGCCATGTCCGTCGGTCTGTACTATATAAATTCGATCTAGTCGGCTTTTGAGATATCGATCTGAAACTTTGTACACGTGCTTTTCTTTCTAAGAAGCTGTTCATTAATCGGAACCGCTGATATTGGGTCACTATAGCACATATTTTTTTTATAGGCTTTAGAAACCATAAAAGTATCGCCATCAGACGTGAGTGGTACACCTATGATACAAAAACACTCCGCATTCTATCACGGATTTTTCTTTAGTCCCGGGCAGAGTTTCCAAGTTGGATCCATTGTAGGTCAGTTTCTACTCTCCCTGCATTCAGGGATGCCTATGATTTTTAGCCGACCCCAATTTAATTGGCTCTATTGAGTCAGATTCACCGGGGACTGAGAGATCGTGTTCATGTCCCTGTTTTGAGTGTATTGAATATATTCCAGGCAATTTGCTGCTTGTTTTCGCCGTTAGCTATCATTTTTTGTACCAGATTTTCCGTATGCAGTTATTCAAATTTGCTTTCCGGTGATTTTCGTGCTTCTTTCAATGGATGGTACCTAAAAAATGTCTGGTTTGCATCGTCAAGTGGTTCGTCTTCTTAAATATATGGCGGACTTTTTGTTTTCCCCATGTTGTTCAGGTATTTTCGGAAATACCCTTTAACAGAGAGCATCTGTGTTAAATAGTAGTTCACCTTATAATATTTTTTACTGTACCACGTCTCTATATCTTTGATTAGTTTGGTGCTCCATCTTCCTTAACGCACTTTTGTTCAACGATGTTGCCAGAAGTCAAGTGTCTACCACGTCTGTTGTCTTATGGGCATGTGTATTTTTATTCCGTATACCACAACAAGAGTTGTCTTCTCGCCTTGGGGAGTAGATCGAATGGGATGACGTGGCTTATCAATAGCACTGCGGATTGAGATAGAGTACCGTATATCAAAGCGATTCTCAGAGCTGCCGTCCTCTAAACCTTAGCAAGCACTTTCCGTCTATGTTTGATATTTAATGCATCGACCCATCCTTTACTATGCGTAGACTGTATTGCGTCCATGAGCAGTTTTCTTCTATTTGCAAGCGGACCTCCGGTATTTGCTATAAGAGTTGAAAGCGATATGGTTATATTGGCTTACCTGGTAGCATCATGCTGAATTTGAGCACTCTACGTCAGTTTGTTGGCCATTCTTATATCAAGGTATTTCACGGATTTCGTACTTTGAATAGTTTCTGCATGAACTTGCCTCTTCCCCTACTCCGTGTAAGTCCAACCATGTCTGTGTTCGCAGCACGACTTGTGTTAGTTTTCATTACACAGGTCTGATCCCAGTATGGATCCCTGCGCTGCTCCAGGAGTGATTTCCTTGCTTTGACGCGTTTTGAATCGGATTTCTTGTGCGTCTATCATATTGATCCATTTTGAATTATAGCTATTGATGCGAGGAGAACTATTGGACACTATAGCATATAGTGGCCCTACAAACTGATCGATCAAAGTGAAGTCCTTGCATGGAAAACTTTTTCATTTGACAAGATATCTTCACGAAGTTTTGCATAAATTATTGTCTAAGGCAATTATGCAATCTCCAAAGAAATAGTTAAGATTGAACACTGACAAACCACGAACAAACTGACCCACCAATTCACAAAGGTTTGAGTTGATCGGTCAGTTGTTCGACTCTTGTAAGGAAAATTTTTTTAACTGACGAGATATATTTACGAAATTTGGTATGAGTTATTATCCAAGGCAAAGCTATAACTTCCGAAAAAATTTTCAGATCAAACCAATATAGCATATATCTGCCAAACAAACTGACCGCTAAAGTCAAACCTTTGTTGGGAAAACTTTTTCACCTGACGAGTTATCTCCACGAAATTTTGTAGGAGTTATCATCTAAGGCAATAATGCGATCTCTGAACAAATAGAACGATCTAAAACAATATTAAGATCTTTTTATACCCTTATATTCGAACAGTCCAAGTTAAAGTTTTTTGTTTATTTGCATCATTTTGTTAGTTAAAAAATTTATAAAAATATTCTTTCTTTTTATAT